CACTGCCACTGAAGACTACAAGCGATCAAGCAACATGCAAGTCGGAGCTTTCCCTAGAACAAGTCAATTAGCACCGCAATTCATCTGAGTCCAATACATCTCAAAGCCAAAGAAGGATCGTCCAATCAAACGGAGGAGCACGACAAGGATGAGGAAGCAAGCAAGGCCAACATATATGTGTATATACTCATACACAAGAGACAAGATCAAGCGGTCACGATGATGACTCAGACTCTTAAATTCAGACCCCATGTCAGTTTACGACATCCAGCCACATCAATATCCAAAGTTTGATCCAGAAGCACCATGTCTGATTGCACCGAGCAAACTAGCAAGCAAGCCGACTACAATACGGATCCAGCCAGCAAAAAAGCAAGCAAATTATTCATGCTCTACAACTCCATGACATGTTGATGACGCAAGAAAGAAGTCCACACCATTAATCAGAGACGAGCATGCAAGCCAATTAAATATTGAGGCATATATACACATATACATACAAGATACAAGAGACATGCGAGTGCCCATGCGTGCATGTATCACGTCTGGATCCGTCACTATGCCAACATATGGTCGTACGGGAGAATCATCTTGTACTTGAATCAACTACGTCAACAAGCAAGCTATCAAGTCGCGAGCAGCCAAGTACCAAGCATCTGACCGATTGCTACCACAACACGGAAGCAAGCCGAATCAAGAAACAAGTCGTCCAAGCCAGATAGCAAGCAAGCCAAGACCGACTACTCGGCCGAGGAGTCCGAGTACTCGGAAACAATTTAAGCGAAAGGAACACATGACCTCCGCAAACAACTCGGATACGATATCCGACTACGGTGACCAGCTACTAGGCTGAACGGCGCACCGATCGACTACCCGGCTGCGGTGGTCAATAACTCTGCCATAAACCAAGCTAAGTGACGCTTTAATTTTTTACATTCCGAATATTATTCGTATGCCTCTGTGGCCATATCATCTTCCCTTAACGGCTGTTAATTTCCTCGGATAATAAGCCTTTATTCGTGAAGCTTGTTTTCTCGAATGGATGGTCACGTCAATGAACCTCTGAACCATACGGATGGTCACATCAAAGAACCTTTGAACCATACGGGTGGTCACGTCAATGAACCTCTGAACCATACGTGAGATTCAAGTGCTTAAACGTAACAGGCTACTACCAAGGAAATTAACCGACCTAGCAAGGGAAGACACAAAAAAAATCATCATGCGAGCAAACATAGTGCTCTACAATCATCATGCGAGCAAACATAGTGCTCTAAGTAAAATCATCATGTGAGCAAACATAGTGCTCTAAGTCTTCTCTTAAACGGTCGCTAAAGTCCTCAGGTAGAACATGCCTTAATCCGTGAAGCTTGTCTACTCACATGGACAGTCACGTCAATGAACCTCTGAACCGAATGCCAGGCTCACATGGTCACGTCAATGAATCTCTGAACCATACGCTAGAGATTCAAGTGCTTAAACGTAACAGGACACTACCTGAGGAATTTGCATGGCCTAGCAAGAGCAAGACGCAAAAAAAAGTTTATATGCATTTTATGATGCCGGGGCCCGCCCCTGATTGATTATTCAACTATGGGACATGCTCCCGACTTCATATCCGGAATGTCATTTACAACATATTTTTATGTTTAACATGCAGGGGAGCTGAGAGCTAGTCCAGAAACAACCTGGTTTGATCAAAAAAGAACCCCGACAAGGTGCGACAAGAACCAAGACAAGCGCTTAGAAAGAATCTGGAATGATCAGAAAACAACCCCGAAGAGGTGCTACAAGTAACAAGACAAATTCAGAAAGAACCCGGATTGATTAGAAAACAATGCGGATGAGGTACATACAAGTTCAGAAAAAATCTATATGAAGCGCAAACAATCTGGAAGAGGTACATCAAGAACCAGAGGTCTAGAAACAACCCGGATGAATCAAAAACAACTCAGAAGAGCATCACGGCTTAGTCTACATCTATACCATGAGATCAGGAAAAACATGCTCCTGAGAGCTATTTTACTCAGACAAGTCTAGAAACAACCTAGTTTGATCAAAAGAAAACAACCCGGATGAGGTACATACAAGTTCAGAAAGAATCTAGACGAAGTGCAAACAATTTGGAAGAGGTACATCAAGAACCAAATAAGTCTAGAAACGACCTGGTTGAATAAAAAACAACTTGGAAGAGCATCACGGCTTAGTCAAAAACTAAGCTCGGGGGCTCGGCATTCGCTTCAACTACGCTCGGGGGCTCAGATTCAAGGATGAAAGACCAAGAATACAAGTACTCAAGACTACAACAACGCAACACATCAAGACCCTTCATCCGATTTCTATTCTAAAGAAAAGTACTCGGAGAAGGCTCGGGGTCATGGATACATAACCCCAAAAAATTTTTTGAAGACAAGAATCTGACCTCCAACTTTTGCAAGCAAAAGCAAGAGGCTCGGGCTACACTCGTTGAGTGCAATTTTTACTGAAAAAATGCACCCACCGAAAAAAGAACTCGAGCAACCAAGAAGACTAAAGGGACCCTCGGCTTCTTGTCCCAACAAGCAAGAGGCTCGGGGCTACACTCACTTCGAGTGCACTTTTGTCCAAAAGTGCATCAGTAAAAAAAGACAAAGAAGACCATCTCAAGATCTCGCTTCAAGAAAGAACCCGGAACAAGTCTACAACAACCCGGCCCTTGAAGCTCAATCATGAAATGCTCTTGGGCTTGTCGATGCACGGGACCCATAAGGTTCCCCACGGAGAGAGAAGAAAAAACCTAGTCCAAATAGGATTCTCTACATGTAATCCTACTAGGACTAGTTACACGTAATCCTACTAGGATCTCTACTTTGTAACCGACTAGGACTCCCGCCTCTCCTAGACTATATAAAGGAGGGCAGGGGTCCCTAGATCGGCACCTACACATGACACACACATAACCGACAGAACTCACAACCACAACATACCTCGCAACACAACAAATAGCGCAGGGCGCAATATACTATCTACTCCAGACTGGACATAGGGCGCCGTGACTTTCCGGCATGCCGAACCAGTATAAATCATTGTCTCCCTGCGTTTACCATCGAGTTCCTGCAAACGCCGATACCCCTCCGAACAAATCACCGTCCCGGGTATCCCGTGACGGGTTGCCGGTGGTAAAACATCAACAGTGTCTGTGACCAACTGATAACGTTATGTATCAAAATACTCTTTGTAGTGACATGGACCTTTGTTCCCTCTGGTACACCATCGTTGACCATACTACAAACACGGTTGGTGTGATCTCGCAAGATTACCCCAGCTCTTTGCTTGCAACAATAGTGCGTGCAAGCGCCGAGTAGCAAGAGGTATGTAAACCTCACTAAATACTAGGCCTAAAACTAAAGCAAGCGCTAACAAGCGGTCTCTAACTAGCCTAAGCACTTCACAAAACACTAATGCTAATCATCTAATCTTCCTTAAGCACTTCTGGTGGCCAGAGCATAAAGAGATGAGCCTCAACTCAGTAGAACCTTTCCTTACCTCCAACAACACTCAAATGGCCGGTTGGGGTGGTATATACAGCCTGCAATCCTATATATAACCGTTGGCATTTGGACTATGCACGTGAAGTGATCATCAGAAACCATAGGTGAGACCACTAGAGAGTTCCGATGACTACCACGTCGACTAGCCATTGTCGATCATTGGAGAGCCTAAGATCCAATGGTGGATCTTCGGTGATCACCGGAAGTTTTTGGTGAGGTTAAAAACCTTCTTCATAGCATATGTATAGCACCTTTATTCTACGGTGCCTTGCATCGGAAGGTTTCGGTGCCCTCTGTCTTCTCTCCACTGCGTCTCCAACTCCTCTGGCCCTAAAATCCGTTGGTGTGGTCTCCGGTGACGAAGGGAAGTATAGGTGAGATCTTCCTCTCTGCACTTAGACTGCATAGTAAGCTGAGCTCCGGTCCTTAGCAACTCTGGTGAGTATAAGACGATCAGATCGATTCATTTAATTTAATTTTTACACTGCTCTATTCTTTGGTGCTTCACTTCATTTTACCACCGGAGCTTTCCGACGACACTATCCAATGTAATTTGAGCCTTGTTTTCTTCGTGTTATCTCATCTGAGCTTCTTCTACTTGATGCATCGGACTTTGTAAATGTCTTCAACCTTGCTTGATGTATTGATCACTTAAACTTCACGTTGCCTTGTCCAAATCCATCCTTATATGCGTAGGACTTTAACTTGTATACTTGTGCACACCAATTGTACACATGATCATGATCATGTTGCCACTCAATTACCAAAAATCATATAAAGACACCCTACCTAGGTGTCATTTTCGTTATGGCTGTCGCAAACATTTTGTTATTTTCTAGATTAAATTGTGCTTGAATTTGCATTATTGCCTAAATATCTAACATGCTATACCGGATAATATCAGAGTTCGGCGGTGTTTGGTTGCTAGCCACACTTCACCTTAGGCAACTTTGACCAAGTTGGTAATTATTTTTGGTTGGCAATTAAACTTAGACATGAATATTTTGGCCTCCACGTGCCATAGAGTATAAAACAATGGCAAGATTTCTTTAGGCATGGTAAAGTGTGGTTTTAAAAAATTTTGCCACACCACACTTATATAAACTTAGTTGTGGCAATTTATGGCTGAGGGCCAAACAACCCCGGAATTTTGACATTGATTTTCTTTTTCTGTCTGGAGCATTTTGTTCCTATGATGGATAAAATCAGAGTTCCAGTGATTCCAATCTTCACATTTATTTCCTTTTTTCTATTTGAAGCATTTTTCTATTTTATTTTCTTTTTGGCGTCCATTTTTGTACTTGTCAAACGATTGTCACATACGGAGTACGGACCCACTCCCTCCCCTGCCCGGCTGCCCCCTTCCTCCTCAGTTCTCCCGCGCGGTGAGCTCAGGTACAAATAGGAGACCGCCTCCGCCATGACTGGGTAGCCTCCAAAGATGAGTGGGACACCCGCGCCGTTCTGCTCATGGACGCCATCTTCTCGCTCGCGGCGGGGCCCCGGGCGTGTGTCCTGGAGCGCGCAGCGGCCCGCATCCCCGGCTGCCTCTACATCTGCCTTTGGGCGCCGATGATCGCTGGACCGCTCCCTTCCAGGTAGGTCTCCATTCCTGCCGGTTCCATGTGCTCTCGCCCGTTGCTTTCCCCTGACGTTCCTTCGTGCGATGGTGTGCATTTGAATGGGCAGCCATTTGTTTTGCGTGGACGCGTGGATCACCAACGACGGCGGCGGTCGCGCAAGGGCGGTGTTCGACGAGTACCGGAGAGCGTTCTGCGCCATCGTGAGCGGGTTAGCTTGCATTGCAACTCCATTTCAGGTTCAGCCCATGGATTGTTTAGCTCCATTTGTTTCTGACGGTGGTGGTCACCGAGCTCGCAGCTGCGTGCCCGGCTGGGCGTACAAGGACCGCCGCCCGTACATGGAGCTGTCGGAGACGGACCTCACGTCGTCGGCGTCGCTGCCCGTGCAGCTGCAGTTCTACCACGTCAGTATATGCGCCCCTGCAAACGTTAGATAGATTAGTTTCTCTTTCAAGTCTACTTCACGCTACCTGATTGCTGACATTTCTGCACTGTCGATGTTGTTGTAACAGGAAGCCGGCACGAAGGTACGTTTTCTCGATTATTGGTGCGCTGCATTGCATTCCATAAATGGAGACGACGACCGTGTAGCTGATCTGCTCGAGGTGGTGGTGCAGATGGCGGTGTTCATGGGCTGCGACAACGGCGAGATCGAGGTCGGGCTGTCGAGCACCTCGGCTCCGGCGGTGGCGAGCCACGTGCAGCACTCGCTCCTGGAGGAGCTCATGCAGGCAGCACCAACGGTGCCTTCGTCTTCGTCGTCCTCCATGCCGTCCCTCTCCATCGGGAGCCCCGAGTACTCCTCGTTCATCCGCTCAATGGCCACGTCGGCTGCTGCCTCTGCCTCCGCCGCCACCGGCGCCGCCGAGCCATCTTCTCAAGAACTGCAGCTGCACCCCGCTGTGCCGCTGCTACCCGGCTTGCCCGCGCCGGTATATGGCCCACACGGCCAAGCGCCGTTCCTGGACCCCGATAACGAGCAGGCTGCAATGACGCAGGCAATTCTCGCCGTCATCTCCTCCTCCGCGCCGCCACCGCCGGCGTCCATCGCCGTGCCTCCGGCGTCCTCCTTCAGGGCATACAACGCGGCGCTCTCGCCGCGGGCGCGGCCACGGCCGGGCGAGCCGGGGCAGAGGATGATCAAGACGGCCATCGCGCTCATGGCGAGCGTGCAAATGGCAATGCGCCACCGGGAGCTCGCAGAAGCGCGCCAACATGAGGATGCCTCTGCCGCCGCGCAGCCGCACCCGCCGACGCAGCAGCAGCACACCAGCAGCCAGCTTCACCACATGTTCTCGGAGCGGCGCCGGCGCGAGCGCCTGAACGAGAGCTTCCAGACTCTCAGAGCACTGCTCCCTCTTGGAACAAAGGTACGGTCGAATACCGTTGCATTGCTTGGCTTGCAAGAGCTCACGACATCGCAAATTTGATAGTACTAATATTTACACGTGCCATCGTGATCGATCTGAAGAAGGACAAGGCCACGGTTCTTGCAAACACGACGGAGTACATGAACAAGCTGATCGCCGAAGTGTCGGAGCTCGAGGAGAGGAACCGGAGGTTGGAGGCGCAGCTTGGCCTGCTGCCCGGCGAGACCCAGCAAACGCCAAGCGACGACGACCCACCGCAGAGAGTGGCCGTTGATGTGACCACCGCCGCATCGACCTCGAGTTCAACGTCCTGTCAACCTCAGGAGGTGAGCGTTAGGGTGACGGTGCGGGCTGAGTGCGATCTGTCGGAGGTTGTGGTCGCCATGCTCGCCCGGATCAAGGAGATGGGGCGCTTCACCGTGGCGACCGTCGATGCTCGGCAGCGGAGCAGCGACCATGCACAAGTCGGCATCACATTGCGAGCCACGGTACCGACTCAAAATTACTCCATATCTGTTTTCAAATATATTTCTCTCTTTTAGATTTTGTCAAGTTAAGCTTTGTTAATTTTGACTTAATTTATGCCTATATAAGATATATTTCCTTATGACTTTAATGAAATGATAGATGGTGATGTATTTTTCTAAAACTTACTAGTCAAATTTTAAAACATTAGACTTACTACAAAACTGAAACGCCGGTAATAAGCTTCATGAACTAGTTGTTATTTAACGTGGTTATCGCAATTTAGATTCTATATATAGCTAGGCCAGCCAAAGTTAGTCTACTCTCAAACCTACAATTATATTCTTTTTGGAACTGAGAGAATAGAATACGATTTTTATAATTACAGTTAGTAGAACTTACCATTTCATGATTCTGCTTGGGCATGTTTGGTTGGGTGTATATGGGTTGGCATGGCCTGTGGGATTTAGGGAAAAGTTGTTTGGATGTTTGTATATCGGCTAGGTTCAACTAATGCAAAATTGCTCCGTCAGCCTCCGTACAAACGAGATTGAAATCCATTTCTCGCAGTCCTGGGCAACACAATGTAGCTTGGTGCTTTTGATGTATATGTTGTCTCTAAATCGGGTCAAATGTTCATGCAACCAATCAACACTCCGATACAACCAGGCCAGAGCAATATAATCAACCAAACATCGAGTCCTTACATCATCTTAGCTTGGCCAGAGTGTGAGCTTGCATCCAAAATATGAGCAGGTTGATTACTTTGGTTAGCGAAGAGAACCAAACATGGATGTTACCAAAAAACATTAATTTAAGATTTGTGTGGTTCTGACGACATCTTAATTTAATTAACATTACATATACACAACAATCACGCAACACAAGACAATCCTACGTGGAAGAACTAGCCATACTACGTGTACAATAGTACGGTCAATATTCTATTTTGATGTTTGATCTGCATGGGTCTACCATATTGACGACGGCGTCCTGGAGAGGAGATGAAGAATCTTTGAAATGTGGCCCTTGAATTGAACTCTAAAAAAAGTCTTTGAAATGTTCAAGGAAAAAACTAGCTCAAATCTGTAAAGGATAGTTCAGTGGAAGAAAAGACAAAAGACCTTTAAAGAATCTTGACCAGTTTTGCCTGTAGTAATAAAAACCGTTGACTGCATCTATATAGGTCAAATTGGCTGCTAACTAACCATGCTCTCCCTTTGAATTGGTTCTACAACACATGACTCCGTCACATGACTCACTCAAACGTAGTTGAATGCGCGCATGCTAAATAAACTTGGTAAAGTAACTTTTGTTTATGTATTCTCCTCTCAAGTCTCAACACTGAAATCTATCAGTGGCGTTCTTCTGAAGTAACATACTTTTCAAACACGAATTAGGAAGGATCATTTTCTTAATTCTTAGGCATTTCTAAATACGCAGATGATGAAAAAAAAGACATCCCCTCTTAAAGCAGTTTGTTTGACTGCACTAGTATTTATCTCAATCCTAATTCAACCACTCGTATTTATCTCAATCCTAATTCAACTAGTTTCTACCATAATCTACTCCAATACATGTGTAGTAAGGTGAATATGAATGTAATCAAACGAAGCTTTAACAAGTTTATAAAACCACGGATGTTCCCTGATGTATGGATGACGTGATCTTTCAAATTAAGATACCGTACCGTCTACATCTAGGTGCACTTTCTTAATCAGTTGTTTCTGACGACGCCGTCATCCTGACAAATAAAGATTCATAACTAATGACTAGTGTGACGAAGGAGAGCTTTGAAAAGTATATGTGTAGTAGCTAGATATGAGTACCGTGCTGGTCAAAGTACTTGTTGGTGAAGCCTAGCAGCTAACGATGGGTACTACTACTTGTCAAATGAACGATGCAGGGTGGTAACGACGAGCTCGACGAGACATCCCTCAAGGAAGCTGTGGCGAAGGCCGTCGAGGATGCGGTGGCAAGACCTCCATCGCCGCCGTAGGCTGGGGGCCCGCCGCGCCGGAGCTTTTTCTAGCTCGGCTAGCACATCAGTTTTGACCGGATCAGGGCAAGGGAAAGACTAGCTAGTACTGGTGGCAGCGATATGTCCATTTCAATTTTGTATTTCCTCCGTTGCAAATTATAAATCGTTTTGACTTTTTTTTTATAAAATTATAATCGTTTTGACTTTTTTTAGATCTACTTTACTATACATGTAAAAAAAAAGGTCAAAACGATATGTAATTTGGAAGAAAGAGAACAGTCATTTTTTTCCCCTGTCTTGTGCTCCTTTAGGTAAGATTTGATTTGACTAGGACTCTTTTTGTTTTGGTCGTTGTGAGGTGAGTCATCGAGGGACAGGTAAAGTACATACCAGGACGATTAGCCATGCACCATCTAGCTGTCTGAGGATGATGTTAGTTAGCTGTGTGTGTGCGGGGAAGTAAATTTTGCCCTTGGCCAATGTGCCCTCGTGTGATTCACTGTTAATTATCTGCTCTAAGACATGTGTAACTAATCTCAGAGCAGATACAGTAGTGAATCGCATGAGAGGTTACAACCGTAAAGGCACACTTTCTCTTCCATGTAATGCCCAATGTTGTAATGTTGCTTTTTACTTATGCTAAACCAGGTTTGTACCTTCTTTTATGCAGAGCTAATGAACTACAGCCCTAAAGCCTCCTCTATCACATATATATTATTAAAGAGCAAAAATTTGAACCTTATTATTTCAGTGGAGCCTTCTCTTGACTAACTCTGTGACTGAAAACGATATCAGCCGCGCTATCCATGTCCATACTCTAATAAATCGACTCCAAAGTCCAAACCAAATTAAACAGGCAATAAATCGAATCACAGCTTTCCCCGCTGAGTCCGTTTTCTTCAACCCCCCTGAGTTCGTTTATGTTTCTCTTTTTTCTCCGCTTTGATTCCAACAGTTTTTTTCTCATTTGAGTCCATCCACCCAAATGGTGCGATTTTGAACGCATATGGTGCAATTTTGAATTTCCGGTTCATGACCTTTTTTTTCCCTGGTCCGTCCTTTTGTGCCGGTTCCGCTAACTTTTTTTCCTGTTTTTTTTCCTTTTTCCATGAAGCATTCGTCTTTTTCGTATAAATAACATTTCCCAAGTATCACTTGCTTTTTCTTATAAACATAAAAAACAAATAATAAATACAATATTAAGAGTCTTACAACCCTTAACCATTCCTTAATAAATAAATATTCTCACCACAAACCTAGATCAGCCGATAGTCCAACTAATCAAACTGTAAATTGAAATATTGGGTAGTTCTTTATCTAAATAAATGTATCTCCAAGTTTTACATATAAAACAGTGCAATTTTCGACGAGGGTTGCTATGTGAAAAATCAAGAGAGATCTCTATCAATCCTTGACACAACGGTAACTAACTCTTTGCTGATTTAATTAGATAAGGAAGTCACATAACTTGATATTTAATTCTACCAACACATGAATAGTATGAAAAATAATGTTATGATATACTCCCTCCGTTCTAAATGGTAAGTCATCCTAGCCTTTCTAGCTATATAGTTTTACTATGTACCTAAACATAATACGTATCTAAGTGCATAGCAAAAGTCATGTTTCCAGATAAGCCAAAACGACTTACAATGATAGAAAAATATTAAGATTGTATTTTAATTCGATATCTAATTAATATTACATTTTCATAATATTGCCCATACATCGTTAAAAAATCATAGCTTTTAAATTTTTACGAAAATGGTAAAACATAAATCGATATACAACATTCCCATTTTTTATTTGATAGTTTTTTTTTCTCTCTGTTGCCATGCACGAGCATATTTGCTAGTCAGGACAAAGTAAAAACTAAGAAACCTTATTCTTTAAAAAATGGATTCTGGAGCAATTATCCTAAAAAATCTTAGTATGAAATTTTTATTTTAATGACTTGTTTTATACGAATATTGAATGGATCTTAGTAAAATATTAATGCTCATGGAATAAAATTCCTGTCTGTCGCTCTTTCTCCTCAAACAACTATTTTTTCATGAATGTAGTTTTCTTGGTGTGTGCAATCCTCTGTTTTGTTCGATTCTATTGAGTTTGTCCTTTGTATTCATGTGGTTTCTTGTTCCTACCGTCTAAAAAGCCTTAACCGCTCACTCCAAATATCCCGTTCTGTTTGTTTATCTTATAGATTTTTTATTGCAGTTTGCAATTTGTTACAAGTTACAATCTGCAAGCTGAAACAAGCATATCCAAAATTTTAACAATCTATAGGCTATATGAGGAACCACTCAAATGAGCTAAATCACATGTATCAAGCATAAATAACACTAGGTTGAATGCCATACATTGATCACACCACACATTTTACAACTATTACATATCTGGTTCGAGTTTACATCACCATAAGTTTTGAGTCATGCAGCAAAATGTTCGTATCACCTCTCATGCATCCTACTAGCAGCTAGTTTAAAACAAATGAGCCCATCAAGTTCATGGCAACACAAAAAGGTTGGCCATCACTCCTCGCCCTCACTATCCTCCGTGGAAAACAAGTAGTTGTACATGGCTGTTTGCTCACCTACATTACAACTTAATGGTAGCATCACAAGCGTAGTGTGTACTCGTATGACTTTCCCGACAATAATACATTTAATGGATAGGATAGCATCAAGTGAAAAGATGGGTAAGTGGTTTGCATAAAACTATTTCATCAAATTATGATAAGGAAAAGACATAGCATCTATATTCTTTAGGTCAAACATCAAACATTTGCAAAGAGTACAAAAAATCATAAATATGAGCTCAATATTCCATAAGATCTTCCATCAACACCCAAGATCTTGCATATAACTGGGAGCATTGCAATTTGAATATGTTACATAACCTGCTGAGGTGTACAACTTAACCCACATTGTTATGGAGTGATTCGAGAGTTATCTAATAGCATCCAGAGCACATCTACAAACCTACATTCACCATGCATCAAAGGTGTCAGGCAAGGTCATCAATGGTGGTATTCGACCCCGTATACTCAAAGGGCTTGACCTAGGTCAAAAAAATGGTAGGGAGAAGCTTACTAGGACGAAGAGGAGCACGAGCTAGGGTGGTTGTGTAGAACTACATTAGGAAGGTAGAAGATGAAGAAAACTTGGAGAACTCCTCCTTATACCCTATGGTGATATAGAGCTTGGGGAAGAAGTGGATGAGCCTGTCACCATCCTTCTCGAACAATATTATTTTAATGAGCTTCTTACAAGAGGTGAGGTAGGGTGGGGATTTGGGGGAGGGGTGTAGGAGGTTGTCTTCTTGGGTTATTGATTTTGTTGTTTATAAGCTTGTTGCTCCAACAGTTGGTCTCTTGGTTTACCAGATTCATTGAAACCTAGTCCAATTTCCTCTAAAGACCGTTGTTCCTCCTGTTCCATCTCTTCTTCCTCTTCATCAGATTCCTGTAGCTCCATCCTCCTGAGCAGGTTAGAACATTCCTCAGTTAAACTTCCTGTTTTAGCGAGCCTTCTAAAAGCTTCCCATTTAAAGTGTGGAGATTCATCATATAGACTTTGCCGGTTGTTTCCCACCACTTTGCATTCAGACTGAACACAAACCATAGTTTCAGGCGTCATCAACTTCTCTAAGGAGTTATAGCTATTCAAAAAAACTTCTTCTGTGTTAGCACAGTCACTTCATGTTGTCACTTCTGCAAATTCAGTAGTCATAGACTGAGAGTCCATTCCATCACCAATATTAGCCACCTTCATCCCATAAAAGCTCTCAAGCTTATTCTGTGCTCTAGGTATAAAATCATAGCAAGTATCAATATTGGAATGTGAAGATTCTCATATGACACCAGCAGCTTGGACACATTGCCTTCCATTTGCAGTACCAGCTGCCTCTCTTGATCCATGAAAGCTTCCAATTACAAGTTACTACTTACTATCTGATAACCTATATTCTGACCAAACCTTGATATAGGGGTCTTTTCTTTGGATGATGTCCCTTCCTTTGAGTCCATCATCATATCATTGTTGTTATCCTCTTCTCCATCCAAATCATCAACATCATCATCATTGTCTTGTCCATCATCCCCTCCACCATCATCACCATTGCCATTACCAGTACCTTGGTTCTCAACACCTTCATCTTCCACTATAAAGAGATCATATAAAGCTTCTTGTTCATCTCAAAAAGCCTTTCTATTGGCATTCCTTTGCAGTCCTTGCAAGCCACTTTGACTCTCACCACTTCATAGAAGGACTTTGAAAGGATCAAGATGCCTAAGAGGGGGGGTGAATTGGGCTAATTCTAAATTTCTTTGCAATAATTAAGACCTATGGTTAGCCCAATTAACCCCTTGTGCCTAGAAAGTGCTTCTATTGAACTAACGCACAAAAGACTTGCAACCTAAGTTCCAATCCTACTCTAGCATGACAATTCTATGAATGTAAGAACAAGAATTGAATTGCTCAAAGTAAATGCTCAAAGTAATAGAGAGGAGAGGAAACACGGCGATATTTTGTCGAGGTATCGGAGAGTCGCCACTCCCCACTAGTCCTCGTTGGAGCACCCACGCAAGGGTGTAGCTCCCCCTTGATCCGCGCAAGGATCAAGTGCTCTCTACGGGTTGATTCTTCGACACTCCGTCGCGGTGAATCACCCACAACCGCTCACAATGTGAGTTGGGTCATCCACAAGCTCTCTAGATGATCACCAAGCTCCCAATCACCACCAAGCCGTCTAGGTGATGGCGATCACCAAGAGTAATAAGCATGAACTCTCACTTGACCACGACAAGCCTAATGAGATGGGTGGATGCACACTTTGCTACTCTTGATCTCACTAATGAGGGCTCTCTTTAGGATTCTCAAATCTCAATCACTTCACTAGGACCTTGCTCTTCTTGGCACTCTCAAACATGTTTCTCGACTGTTGGAATGAGCAAAAGTACCCCCACACATGAGTGGAGGTTCTATTTATAACACCGGCTGAAAAACGAACCGTTATGT